GGCCTGGATCCGCCTTTGCCGGCGACCCCGCGTGCATGGAGCTGGCCGCACCGGAGTACGTAGTTGATCTCCCTGGATGGAGGTTCATTAGAAGGCGAGGACGCCGGCGGCCGCTGCGGCCACGGCGACGGCGCCGCCGAGGCGGGCCGCGAGGGAGGAGGCGGCGCTGGGCGCCGGCGCGTCGCCCCCGGCGGCGCCGGGCGTGGACCCCTCGGGCTTGGGCTCGGTCATGGTGGTGCCGATGGGGGAACCGACGGGCGCGGCGTCCTCGTCGTCCATGGCGTCGTCCCCCGGCTTGTCGCCCTCGAAGGACCCCACGGGGGTCTTGGCCACCGGGGTCAGGATGGTCGGCTTGGCGTCGTCCGCCGTGGCCACCGCCGCGAGCAGCGCGACGGCGGCGAGCAGGAGGAGGAAGAGCAGCGGCGTCCGGTGCCCGGCGGCGGCCATGTTGCGGGTACACACGCACGTCGAGGTTCTCCGGCGATGAAAATCTGCGAGCGCGGGAGGCGTGCGTGCGTGCGTGTGTCGGGGAGGACGGCGAGGCGCGCGCGCGCGCGCGTATATATGCGTGCGACGGCAAGAGCGGAGCGGTGGAGAATTCGGGCGGACGAGGTTTGAAACGGACGAGCGGTGGCGGCTGGACGCGAGGCACCACTGGCTGCGCGGGCCCCACGCTCCTCGCCGTCCCTGTTTAGTTTTTCATATTTTTTTTTCTTGTTTCCGCGTGAATATATCTTGGAAATTATAGCACCCATTCCACGTCCTTTAACATACGGAAACACTATTCTAAAAAAAACATTCGGAAACACTAAAAATCTAACGTCGGATTTTCTAGGCATGGTGAACCTGATGTTTTTTCATGACAATTTATATTGACGTGATGATAGCAAGTTTAGTTTGCAAAGTACGTCAATTTTCTGACAAACAAATGAACCGAGACGGATTTCACATGCTCATCAACTCCCTAACCGGGCTCGCACCCATTTTCATTAATTTTGCAATCAACGAAAATACATCAGTCTTTGTAGTTCAGAATCACAAGATAAGCACCGAGCCAACTAAATCAACTACCAAGCAGAGGAGACTAAAAGGGGTGAGAGCGAGTTGGTGCATCGTCAGAAAACCCACCGCATGACAACCCTGAAACGGACTATCATCTGTGGGGCGAAAACCTGACGACACTACAACCACTACTCGAAACCAAAAGCACATGTCTAGAGTATAGGACTCCAAAGAGGAGGGACCAACTTCACCAAAAGAGTAAATCCAGCGGGCATCAGACCCCAATAGATATAGGCCAATCTAAAGTAAAAGGACCAAGATAACTATACAATCTGAATACCATCCCCATCTCCCAGGAGCAGCCTGCCGCGCGCATATGATCTGTCCGCCAGAGTAGTCGCCACATGAACAAGCCTCTTCACACCAGCCTGGAATTTCGTCTTGTCTTCCTCCTTAAGCAGCCCTACCCAGTATAACATAAAAGAGCAAACGGTGAAGACAGCCCCCAAAGGAGTACGAGCATTATACTTATCAAAAGTAGTTTTGTTACGAAGGCACCAAACTGCCCAGCACACGGCCGCAATAATCATCATATATAATTTCTTCCCTCCTGGAAAGAGCTTGTACAACCAAGCAAAGCATTGCCAAATAGACCTAGGGGCACAAGAGGCCCCTGCTGTCAACCCCAGCACGTCCCAGACTGTGCGGGCGAGCGGACAAGTGAAAAAGAGATGATTAACAGTTTCCACATTCGTGCAAAATGAGCACATAGGATTTCCTGGATAATTCCTATGTCGCATGTTATCGTGCGTAAGCACAGCGTTTTGGAACAGCCGCCATAGAAAAGAAATTATTTTCAAGGAGATCACGGCTTTCCACACCCCTTTATAGTTAGGGCTAGATAAGTCTCTCTCCAGCCACTCGTATACATATTTAGTGGTAAATTTACCCCTACTATTCAAGGACCAGGAGACAATGTCAGGATTCTCATTCAAAGATTTCTTTCTAGCCTCGCACACCACCCAGTTCCATTGCTCCTCTAATGCACCAAACAACCTACGTCTAAAAGTTAGATCTTAGTTGTTGGCTGCAAAAGAGGCAATAGTGCAATCTTGATTTTGACAGATGTCATATAAGATAGGAAAACGATCCTGTAATGTGCAGTTATCTATCCATGGGTCGTGGCAAACCCTGGCTAAATCCCCTTTATTAATGATGATTCTCCTCCCAACCATATAAGTATCTTTGACCTTCATAATGGATTTCCAGCAAGGAGAATCAGAGAAGCGGCTGCGGATATTCGCCACAGTTTTGTTCCTGAAATATTTCACTCGGACAATATGTTGCCATAGCCCATCACTAGTTTCTAACTTCCACCACCATTTCACAAGGAGACTAATGTTTTGCTTGTGAAGATCTTTTTTCCCCAAGCCACCAATTCTCTTCGACCGGCAAATCCTAGCCCATTTAACCATGCGATAAGCATGCTTCTTATTCTTCCTCCTCCAAAAAAACATCTGCGATGCTTATTAATCTTCTCAATAGAAGTTTTGTTAAAGAGGAACATGGACATGCTCATCAACTAACCTTGTCATCTTTGAAAAACATAATTTACCATAAAAAATATTCGATTTGTCATGGTCAAAAAATCTGACGTCAAATGTGTAGTCCAAAGTCCAAACACAGACAAACCAACATATCCACAATCCACTGCAATCATCAGCTTATCCACTCTGTTTTTCTTCTGCTAGTCTTCTTCCATAGCCGTGTACCCATTTTCACCTTCTTCTTCTTCAGCTTCCGCTCGTCCACCCTCTTCCATATGCCCGGTTTTGCCATCTCCCGTTGTAATGCATTTTGCTCATTCTTCCAGCATCACACGATCCTCCTCCAATTGCAAGCATGCCCAGTAATGCATAAACAAGCCTGCATAACACACAAATTCAGCCGACGACCGAACCGGTTTGAAATCAAAACAAGCTCTACTGTGAAGCTTCTGTATCGCCCATCAAAGAGCTGCTAAGCCCACAATTTGTAAGTTTCGACCATTTGTTAGGAACACAGGATTCCACCAGAAATATTGTAAGAGAGCTTTTTAACTACTAATCAGTCATCGGACCATGGTGGACTACCTTAGCAGATTGGCCCTAGAGATCCCCTATCAGAATCAGGTATCAGTGTTCCTGTCTATTTCTGTCTTCGCCCTCTGCCTCCCTAGCACAGGTTTGATGGAGAACGTGTACCCTTCGTCTCTTGTTCTGCGCGATCGATTGCTTATGACGAATTGGCTTCTTAAGTTAAGTTAAGGGGCAATTGCGAAACTTACAGATTTGACTTTTTCTCATATAAGCCCTCTCTAAAAAAACTCTACACACTTTTCTCAAAACACACATAACTCCACCACTGATTATAGTTACTCCCTCCGGCCCATATTACTTGTCGCTCAAACGGGTGTATCTAAACTGTTTGAGTAATGAGTAATATGGATCGGAATGGTATATTTTTCTAAAAAGACATGCCTCATTTTAGAGCTTAGCACAAGTGCACAACACCCTTTATTTTACCGGCTCGGCCCTGCAACATATGCCAATTTTATTATTCCATTAGAGTGCAGTGCAGCTCGTTATTTGCTAGTACAAGTTGAGTTGCAAAGTGGATAATGCAAAAGCAAATAGTGATCACCCTACTCAACAAGGTCATGGGCGCCATGGCGGCACGTAAGCGGTGGGCACGAGCACGAGGGGCGTCTTGCGGTGGAACACGAGCCTTCCTTCCTCCTCCATGCTCACGTTGTCCACCGCCATCCCCTTCGGGAGCGCCCAGTCGAAGCAGCAGAGCAGATTGGCCAGCGTGAACTCCACGGTGGCCATGGCGAGCGACATGCCGGGGCAGATCCGACGCCCAGTGCCGAACGGCATCAGCTCCGGATGCTTGCCCTTAAGGTCTATGTCGCTCCCCTCGAACCTGTCCG